TGCAGGTGGGTGAAAATGCAGTCAAATCACAGGATATATTCCACAAAAGATGTAACAGAGGGCAGAAGTTTACATGCTTGCTTCCTTGTGAGATCCATTACAATGCCTTCATAGATACAGTATGTTAGGCTATGCTGCCTGATTAGTTACCCAGTCAGCATTGCATATACCAGATGTTGGTTGTAATTGAAAACATTGGAAAGGGAACAAGTTGTCAAACCTGTTCTATACCATACATGTTTTGATCAGTTTGTAAGCTACTTATCAACATGCAAGGATTCAGTAACATTCTGGAAGACCTGTGTAAACCTATACAGAGCTGTATGTATTCACTGAGGAAACTAAATCCTTGCTTTCTTCGCTTCTTGAAAGAACACTGTTCTTCTTTTGCACCAACAGTGTCTTTCCCCCCCTCCCCTCCCCAACTGCAGTGAACACCAAACAGTGTTAACACCCTCACCTTATAACCCTGCTCCCAGGTTTCACCACTTCCTATTTCAAGTATTCCTCTATATTGAAGTGGTCAGTAGATACGCTGTATTTCAAATCTTGGTCCTAATTGTGTGTCTGTTTGTTGTTGTTTTAAAACAAGTGCGTAATTATTTCTCAGCCCTGTCAAACTGTCCCCAATGGATGCTCAAGGCACAAATGGCCACCAGCACACATGCCAAATCACCATGGATAAACAAGTCATAGTGAGTTGCAGTGATCATGCAAAACAGACCCAAGTATTGTGGAATGTAAATGATCCAATGTTGAGAACACTGTCAGTTAACAGGACAATGGCTACTTGTTGATCACAATGAGATTTTATTTTTTTATCTTTCAAATTTGTGAATTGTGTACTTAGATTGTAACTCCAGGCAATTTTGAATTAAAGCATAAAAGATGTATTAGTTTCAGTGGAAATTAGCACTGGAGGAGCCTTTAGACCGGGGTCCTCAAACTTTTTAAACAGGGAGCCAGTTCACTGTCCCTCAGACTGTTGTGGGGCTGGACTATAGTTTGAAAAAAATATGAATGGATTCCTATGCACCCTGCACATTAAAAATAAAATAAATTAACAATTAATTAAAATTAAAATTAATTTAAAAATTACAAAATGTTTGCTCTGCTTGCTTGGGCTGCAGCAGAAGCCCAAGATGAGGTGGGGAAGAGCATGTCCATATTCAAGGGACGTAGCTACAACACAACCAAGACACTAAATATAGTATTTTGCATAATGCAGCTGATGACTGCAACTGGCATTTATAAAGAATAAAGCAAAAATACTTCGGATAAATACTGTTAATGCCACTCTTAGTATTTGAAGCAAGTCAGTCCAAAACAATTCCCACAATTCACAATGGCTGCATTTGGATACAGAGCTAATGACTACCATATTTTAAATGCAACCTTGCCAAAATTGGTACTGTCCAGATGAGTTGGACTACAGCTTCAATTGGCCATGCTGATTGAGCATGATGGAAATTATAGTCCTTGCTGCCGCCCTGCTTCCGAGGGAGCGGGAGACCGGAGAGGCGAGGCGGCTTGGTGAGGTGGCTCACTCAGAGAAGGCCTTGCTCACAGAAGCCTTGCTAACTGTGTGCTACCTCCTTTACCAGGGGCAGCGTGTCTGTATATTACCAGCTGCTGAGGAACTTGAGCAGATGGAAGTCTTGTACCCATCCTTCTTGAGTAGTCCCGTGGGCAGCTGGTCTGCCACTATATGTATGGCATGCTGGACTAGATGGACCATTGGTCTGATCCAACATGGCTTTTCTTATGTTCTTAAGGAATTATTTTTACAAGCAGATGAAGGGTTAATGTGAATTGTAGAAAATGACCTGCTGGATTTCCCAGTTAGACAGGATCTAAATGACCTTCCAGGTGGTGTTCATTGAGACAAATGCTGAAAATCATCCTGAGTTTTCTATCATTAGTTGTCCATCCATCACTAGTAAGGAAGAACAATGCATAGAAATCAAATTCTGGGACTACTGATAATGGAATGGTTAATTCCTTTTATAAATCTCTGTAGAATTAAGAAGGCACCAGGTTTGATACTGCCTTTTCCACATGGACATACTGTACTGCTGAGCACATTTAATCATATTCTGGAAAAAGCTCCTCTATATTTTAGAATAGTTAGTTCTTGCAAATAAGCTGTATCAGTGGGACTGCATTGGAAAGCAGTCATGTCAGAGGGAAATGGTGGTTGTTAGTTGTGAAGTTGCATCCGACCCATCGCGACCCCATGGACAACATTCCTCCAGGCCTTCCTGTCCTTCACCATCCCCCAGAGTCCACTCAAGCTCATACCAACTGCTTCAGTGACTCCATCTTAACACCTCATCCTCTGCCGTCCCCTTCTTCTTTTGCCATCTATTGTTCCCAGCATTAGACTCTTCTCCAGAGAGTCCTTCCTTCTCATTAGGTGGCCAAAGTATTTGAGTTTCATCTTCAGTATCTGGCCTTCTAAAGAGCAGTCAGGGTTGATCTCCTCTAGGACTGACCGGTTTGATCGCCTTGCAGTCCAAGGGACTCGCAGGAGTCTCTGCCAGCACCACAATTCAAAGGCCTCAATTCTTCGGAGCTCAGCCTTCCTTATGGACCAGTTTTCACAGCCATACATTGCAACTGGGAAAACCATAACCTTGACTATACGCTCTTTTGTTGGCAGGGTGACGTCTTTTCTTTTTAGTATGCTGTCTGGGTTTGCCATAGCTTTCCTCTCAAGGAGCAAGCGTCTTTTTAATTTCTTGACTGCAGTCCCCATCTGTGGTGATCTTGGAGCCCAGGAAAATAAAATCTGTCACTTCCTTCATTTCTTCCCCATCTATTTGCCAGGAAGTGAGAGGACTGGATGCCATGATCTTAGTTTTCTTAATATTGAGTGTCAAGGCAACTTTTGCGCTCTCCTCTTTCACCCGTATCAAGAGGCTCTTTAGTTCCTCTTCACTTTTTGTCATTAGAGTGGTATCATCTGCGTATTTGCGTATTGATATTTCTCCCGGCAACCTTAATTCTGACTTGTGATTCATCTAGCCTGGCCTTTCACATGATGTGCTCTGCATATAAATAGTCAGGGCAACAATATACAGCCTTGTGGTACTCCTTTCTCAATTTTGAACCAATCAGTAGTTCCATGTCCAGTTCTCACTGTTGCTTCTTGAGTTTAACCCATAATGAGATCTTTTTATATAGTGTATTGTCTCTTGTTGAGTGCTGTTCCTATTTTAAATATGGGAATCTAAGGCTTGTCAGATTTTCTGCCAGTTAGATTCTGTCCTTTCACCATATTCTTACCTATTTTAATCAATGCTGTGTTCCTTGCAGTGCTTCTCAAAAACAGACAGCATCATCTCCTTCCATCAACAGTTTAAGGTATCAAGATAATGGCTGCCATTTTACAACCAGCTGTTGTCCCTTCCATTTTACACACTGACTCTTTTTACTAGTGCAACCATTTCCCATCCTATTCATACATTCCTCTGGGTATTGTGATTCAAAGCTATGTAAGGCATTTTCAGAGCATAATTTTAAGTAGTTGCACTGTATTTCAGAAGATCATTTCTCTCAGATAGTTGTATTCACATACTGGATGTTAGATTTCAGGCAACAATGGAAAAAGAACATCTCTCTTCTTCTACTTCTAGCATTTCACTCTGGCAATCTTGAATCAACTTTGCTTACTCATCCTGATGTATTCTTTTCTTTTGATGTGTGTCCATTTTCAGTTAGGTCAGTCTCTCTTGCACTCGCTCGCGCACTCTCTCTCAGTTTTTCCTTGACAGCACTAAGCCAGAGCTTCTTTTGCTAAGGAGCATTTATTTACAAGCAGTATTTATTTATTTATTTATTTCAAACATTTATATCCCGTCCTTCTGTACAAGTGCTCAGAACAGCTTACATAGTATAAAATATGTATACTTACAGTTTTACTTACAACAGCAAAAAGATGTTGTGCTCAACAGCAGCACCTGGAATAGTATAGTTACATGGAAAAGAAGTACACACCGTCATCTTCTGACCTAGAGAAGTGGCCACCTCCTTTGTGTCTGCATGCTGTCACATGTAGCATAAGCTCTGCACCGTCTGCCTTCTTTCTAGATAGATAGTGGAGGTTTCAAGAGGACGTTTGTTTCAGTATGTTTAGTTTTTGTTTGTTTCAGTAAGTTTAGTTTTTGTTCGCTTTATAATCCAACTTAAAGACCTTCTTGGGGGAATTTCAGTGGCGCAGACATTTAGAAAGCAAATATTTTTAGAGGATTGTTACCATCTACAGGACAGCTGTTATTTAAGCAAGGCATGTCATTCAGGTGCACTTATTTTTACTAATTATTATTGTCTTGCCAAAATTAAAGCGTAACACAATATTGGCAAATCTACTCCAGGAGTAGTTAGGAAAGCAAATTACTTTCCTTGTTGAAACAGTTGTTCCCCAGATGCTTATCTAGGACAATTTCCCAAAATGTGGAGCCATCTAGATATTTTAGATTAGAACTTCTGCCATAACCAGCCATTGGCAGTGTTGTAAGGGCAGATGAGAGTTGCAGCGTAAGACAGTTAGAGGGTGCCATGTTGGGAAAGGCTGCTTAAGGAGATGGAGTCTGCATTCTGTTTAGAATAACTCAAAATGGTGTAACAGCGTACCATTTCCTTTCCAGCTTAAGTATTCTAGTTTGCTCTTGAAACAAATGATTTAGTTAACAGTTTCACTCATGTGGAAACAAGAATTGAGAATGAGACTGAGTTAAAATAATTAGAGGTATGTTTCATATTCGACTGAAAGTTCACTTTGTGTTCAAGAGTTTTGTATTGCATCAATAAGCTCAATATAACAAATACCAACACGATTTTTGCAAGTGCTGTTGTCATTAGCCTCCTTTCCTATGGACATAAGATTCGCCTTAGACATTGGACCACCTATTTACATTGCTGGTCAGATCAAAAAATTGCTCTTTCCACCTTTGCACAGAGGGACATGCAATAACATTCTTTTAATTTTATCTTTACAGTTGCACAGAAGATTGTTGCAACAAGGAAAAAACAGCAGCTTTCGATAGGTCCTTGTAAATCATTACCAAACTCTCCAAGCCACTCATCTGTATGTTCAGCCCAGGTCTCTGCAGTACATATCAGCCAGGTATGTTCTTGTAAGTGAGTCAGATTATCTACCTCAGTATAAAGTGCCCATGAGTAAAATCTGGGTTTCTGGCAATCTTAGGCATAGATGAATATTTTCAGATTTGCTTTGGGTAACTTTTTTGAGTTGCCATGCATTTCTATTATTTGAATTTATATTATATGCTACTCTGAAGGTTCTTACTGGGTAACAACTTGTAAATCAATTTTAAGTTTGCTCTATAATGCAGTCAGAGCTTTAAAAAAGCAAACACATTTACTCTGCCTTTTACAAAGGGGAGCTTAAATTGAAAAGAGTAGCAATAGCATCTAAAAGCTGCTATTTAAAGCTCTATGAAAGTGATAAAGAACATGGGTACCATCAGTCCAAGCCAGCATATCCGAAGATGAGGGATGATGGGAAATGTAGTCCAACAAGATCTGAACACCTGCGTATTAGAAAGCACAATGAAAGCTGATCAAAAAACACTTGGGAGGAATGAAGTACCCAGAGTAGAACAGAACTGTTTCAAGCTGCAGAAATGAGTCAGCCCAAATCCTAACAAGAAAGTGTCAGCAAATATGGAAAGCAAAACAATGGCCCACAGACTGGAAACATTCAGTATACATTCCAGTCCCGAAAGAGGGAGCTGCGAAAGGATGCAGCAGCTGCAGGACTACTGCACTAAATTGCCAAGCAAGGACAATGTTGCTCAAGGTGTTGCAGCAAAGACTGTTACCTTTAATGGAGTGAGAAACGCCTGATGTTCAAGCTGGACTCTGAAAAGGAAGAATTACTTGAGATCTTACCACAAATGTGCATTGGCTACTGGGGTGCACCAAAGAATTTCAGAAGAAAATCAGAAAAGATCCTAATTTTATGGACATTTTAGTGGACAACAAAGCCAAGGTCATCACTCTATTGTACTGCCAATCTATGTATGAGTGTGAAAAGCTGCCAGTGAAGAATATTGATGTGTTTGAAACGGTGCTGGCGAAGAGCTGGACTGAATTGATATAACCTGGACTTACAGAAGGACAAGCAAACCCATCCTATATCAAATCAAACTGAAGCAAAAATGATGGAACTGAAGCTTTCATAGTTCAGGCACAGCACAAGAAGGCAAGTTTCGCTGGAGATGGCAATCATGCTAGGGAAACCTGAAGGCAGAAGAAAAAGATCAACTATGAGATTTTAGATTTTAGCCACATGGTTGAATTTACAAGAACTGAGCTTTACAGTCAAGGACACAATATTTTGGAGGGTATTCATTTATGGGGTTCACCTTAGTTGGAGACAACTTGATAGCATGTAACAACAAAAATCTATTTCTATATGTGACTCAGCCTGTTCATATTGTTAATAAATATTGCAAATACATATGAATAATCCTCCATTCCTCACCCTCTGGAACACTCCCTTTATCCCTTCTGCTAGATCATGCTTATGGCCTCAGAACAGCAGTCAGCATGGCTCTTTCTGTGCTGGCTGGAAGGGGGTGGATCCCAGGCTCCATAGTTGTAGTTCATTCTGACTTCACATCTGGGAATCCAAAGAATCCTGTGGCTACCTGGAGCCTTTTAGGGGTATAGTGGGGATAAAAGCCTTCTTTGGACATTTTACTTAGGGCTAGGTTTCTTGGCTGGACATGGAATGCCTCCCCCCCACACACACACACACATATGCATATACCTCCAGTTTAGCGTGCCTAGTAAGTTTAGACATATGTGGCTTGAAAACGGCTGTTTGCTGCCCTCTGTGAGCATGGAAACAGAGAAACAGCACGAGTCAGAAGGGGTCTCCTGGGCCATCTAGTCTGACCCCTGTCTCCAGCCAGCTTCGCTCATGACATGTGTATAATGCCCCACAAACTGAGTAATTTGACTAGTGGTTTGAGATTGCATAATAATACTGCTATTCTTCAGGAGAAATATAGAAAATATTCATCCAGTGGAAGAGATTGGATTAAAGATAACTAATGTATCCTCTTAGTTATCTGTTTCAAGAGAATTTATGAAAGAGTGTGGTAAATTTATTTTTTTAAACCTGCATTGTTTACAGAAGATGTAACTAAACTGGTGAAATAGTAATTGGCTTTCTTTCTGCTAAAATGAATTTTAATTATTGCAGACCAGTAATGGAGGAGGGAGTTTAAGTGATTATTCTTCCTCTGTCCCATCTACTCCAAGCACCAGCCAGAAGGAGCTACGGATTGATGTTCCACCTACTACTAACACGCCAACACCTGTCCGTAAACAGTCCAAGCGCCGCTCCAACCTTTTTACAGTGAGTGAATTAGGAGATAAAAATTATTGTGCATAGTAATGTATCACTGCTCCTTGATTTACTTGAATACTACTATCTGAGCTGGCTGTTTATTTATTTAAAACTTTTATACCCTGTCCACCACTTTGACGTGTGTATGTGTGTGGAATGGTGTGTATGTGTGTGGAAAATAAAGTATTTGAATGGTGTGTATGTGTGTGGAAAATAAAGTATTAGGGGGGAGTATTATATTATTCACGCTCATTAGACTTCCTTGAAACACTGGCTACTCTAGAATATTGCCCCTTCCATGCCACTACCAGCTTTCAACATGCAGAGGCAGAGGCTGGGAGAGTGTGCTGAGGGTGGCCAGGGGACTGGCGAGGGCAAGGTAGGAGCTGGGCAGAGGAATGGGGGGCAGGAGCAGCGGAGAGGAAGGGAGGTGGGGCCAGAGGGGCCAGGAGGAGGCAGAGGGGTGGGGCTAGCAGCCTGTGAGGCTTATAAGGCCGTGCTCAGCCGCTGCAAGCCCTTTTGGCTCTTGCCTCTTGGCAGAGCAGCGGAGGCAGAGGCTGGGAGAGTGCTGAGGGTGGCCAGGGGACTGGCGAGGGCAAGGTAGGACCTGGGCAGAGGAGTGTGGGGACAGGAGCAGTGGAGAGCAAGGGAGGCAGGTCCAGAGAAGCCAGGAGGAAGCAGCGGCCTGGGAGGCTTGTAAGGTGTCGTCCCTTGTCTGCGTCCCTTAGCTGCGTCCTTTAGAATGTAATAAATGAAGAAGGGGAACCCTTCTGGATCAGACCAAGGTTTGAGACAGAGAGAAGGAGAAGCAATCCAGGACTCTTAAGGAGTTAAGGTTGGGAGAAGGTAGAGATATTCATGGTTTTTCTGCATCCCTAACCCCCATGAATGTGGAGAGTCAGCTCTGTAATCAAAGATAAGTACAATAGATAGGCCAAACCTGTCAGGCTAGTGTCTGGAAAACTCAATGCCATGCTGACTGAGGCTTCTGATGGATGCTAAAAGCAAGAAAAATAGGAAGGATGGGTAGGGCTGCTGCCTGGGAAGGACAGTGAATGCCAACAGATGACAGACAGAGGGTGGAACTCCTTAAATTTACACACATTTTCCATGGATGATATAAGAAAGGAGTATGCAACTTAAGATAGGTAAGGGGGTGCTTAGATACCACTTAAATAATTTAATTGCAGTCTTTAGACTGATTACTTCACAAGGTGTTGAAGAACTTGGAGGCGTTATTCCATACAGACTGGCTGCAACTTGAGAATTCTTGGAGAAGAAGGGAGGTGCAAGAAAACTCGAGGTGGGCAGATTGTCCCCGTTTTCAAAAAGAAAGCCTATCAGTTTGGTATTAATACTGAGCAAAACTCTATAATGGATTATTTAAGAGGTCACCTTGTGATCATCTAGAAAATAATATATTGAGTTTATCATGAATAGTTATTTCCAAAAGCTTCTCATCTCTCTCTGTTAGTGTAGTAGATCATCAGAATGCCATGGGCGGTGGCTTTTTTGACTTGGTGGGTACATTTGGAATTTTGAAAGAGTGCTGTGGGCACTCTTATAAAATAGCTGACATGGGAGGACTTGCCCATTAATAAAGAAGCTGCTGCAGTGTCACATAACCTCATTTCCTAGAAGGCAAAGTGGTGAAATATAATTTGCCCAGGAAACACAGTGCAACATTGAGATGCTTTTGTGGTGTTCAGTAGACTTATAAATTATTTGGATGAGGGTACAGGTGGAAACTTAGAGTTTACACAAAGCTAGAAGGGATTGACAGCACTACAGAAAACAGATTCAAAATAATCTTTGCAGGCTGGAAAGTTAGCTGAAATGAAGAAGCTAAAATTCAACAGAGCTAAATGTAGGAACGTGCATCATTGCAAAACTCATTGCTTTTAAGTTCTGTGGATATTTAGTACATTTCTGACCAGACAGCAGCAGTGGGCTGAGTCAGGTTTTCTTTTTTCACCTTCCTTGAAACCACTTTAAAAATTTGTACACATTTAGAGCTGAAAACTAGTGTATCAGTAGTGCAACTTGCACAATTCATGATTTGCACAAATTGGGGTTACTTTGTTACATTCTAGTTGTTACGGCTGATGTAGCAATTTAACATAAGAAGTATGGAAGCATCCTCCTTTCACTGCGTATGCATACACTCTGGCTTGGCAACCTGGCACTGAATTACAGATTTGCACGAAATGTAGGCCTCTGCTGCACAAGTCCAGCAAATGAGAAGAGTGCCCACATTTTGTGCAAAGTTCCAGGCTTTTTTAAAAAGCAAATTACAGAAATTATGACCCATTTTAAAAACAGAGGTTCATGTGTTGGTTCAACTTGTATCAGATCAAGCTGATACCAGGGCAGGTTTGAAGTAAGTCTTTGGAGCTTCAAAAAAGTTGGATTTTTACCCTCCTACTGGATTCCTCACACATCCCTAAATAAATGTGAAGTGTTGCACAAGCCATTTTTTTCCAGGGGAGCACAGCTTTCCAGTGACACATCAACCAGAGCTGCAATACTTCCCAGTATCCAGGGATATAGAATGCTGTGAAAGATGCAGTTTTCAGAGGTCCTATTATTACCCCTCAGTGCTAATTTTCTAATCAAAAGAACCCTATCCAGTGCAATCTTTATTAAGCTAATAAAATGATCACAAAATAAATCAACATTGTGCAAACTTCATCCAATCAGGGATTTTACAGAAACTTCCACAAATTTGATTTATTTTGTTCTGGCTTGATTCTTCAGACAAAATGTTTAAAAAGGCAGGTTCTGGGGACTATGGAGAAAGGTAAATGAAGTTATAGATGATATAGGCACAAAAAATTGGTTTCCATGTTTTCATGCTAAGGTATATAGCAGCCTTCCCCAACCTGGTGGCCTTCAGAGGCATTTGGACTGCAATTTCCAGAATTTCCATCCAGCAGGGCTATTGCCTGGGAATTCTGGGTGTTGTAGTCCAAATGTGTCTGGAAAACACAAGGTTGGGGAAGAGTGTTTTATAGAGTTAATTAACCTCCTAATGCATCTGGGTAGCCATTTTGTGTATTCAGGCCATGACTGTGGCTTGCGTGGTGTGACCCTGTTGTGGGTGGGGGGGGGGACGGTTGTTGGCATAGTTAACAGTCCACCCACAATCCTGTTTTAGGCAACAATGGTCATACAAGCTGGATTACTATCTGCAAATCCAGACCAGTCAGTCTCATGTGTAGTGTGGGAAGAGAAATGTTCAGGTCACACAAGGCTGGAAGACAGCTCCACAGGGAAAGAAAGAGAGAAAGAAGGAGAGGGGCATGTTACCACTTTTTTTAGTTTACCAGGGGAGGGCAACCAGGATAGTGAGGCATTGGGAAACAAAGTCCAGTGAGGAATAGTTAGAAGAGCTGGAGAAGAAAAGATTAAGGACACCACATTAAGCCATATGGAGTAGAATTTATTATTGCTGTTTTATTATTGTATTAATTGAATCTTACTTTGTGAGCTACCTTGACCACAACTTGGATGCACACCTCAAGTGGTGAAGGGATTTGATAGTGTCAAAGCAGCCAAGGGCAAAAGCTCCAGGAGGCTAGCCTCTTTCCCTAGCAAGGTCTTCCAAGGTGGAATGGTCTAAATGGAGACACCAGACTATGATGCAGCCACCCTTTCAGGCCACATCAGCCAAAGAGAATTGATACAGCAGTGACACTCAAGAGAAAGGGAGTGATGCACAAGCTAACTCTGGTTAGTATTGTGCAGAATAAGGCAATGTTAAACCACTTCTGAATGTGCTTCCCTTGTACTATATGATGAAGGAATCCAAAATGAAATGAGATGAGACCCCCAGATTGGAAGGCACTCAGTCATTGGGGAATCACAATCACTGAGGATGAGCAAAAGGTGACTGAGAAAAAGGTCAGTATCTTGAATGTAACTTTTCAGCAACTATCTCAAAGAGACTAAAAGAACTATTACAATGGTCAGTGCTGAGAAATAAAGAGAACAATAAAAAGGGACAAACTCAAGACTTATTCTGGGAGATCCAGACAATCCAAAATAAATTCAAACCTAGACTAGGAATCTGAAAGGCCAACAGAGAAACTATCTGAACAGGATAAGTAAAGAAAAGTTGGAAAAAATATATAGTATGACTACACAGAAGAGGTAAGGAGATCACAGACTCCTTCAAAGAGGAATCCAATGAGGAAGAACCTTCCAGTATTAGAAAGCACAATGAAAGCTGATCAAAAAACACTTGGGAGGAATGAAGTATCCAGAGTAGAACAGAACTGTTTCAAGCTGCAGAAATTGAGTCAGCCCAAATCCTAACAAGAAAGTGTCAGCAAATATGGAAAGCAAAACAATGGCCCACAGACTGGAAACATTCAGTATACATTCCAGTCCCGAAAGAGGGAGCTGCGAAAGGATGCAGCAGCTGCAGGACTACTGCACTAAATTGCCAAGCAAGGACAATGTTGCCCAAGGTGTTGCAACAAAGACTGTTACCTTTAATGGAGTGAGAAACGCCTGATGTTCAAGCTGGACTCTGAAAACTGGGTCTCTTCAGGGAACTGGGTCTCTTCAGCCTAGAGAAGAGGAGGCTCAGAGGGGATATGTTGGCGACATACAGGTATGTGAGGGGGTGTCACATGGAGGTGGGTGGAGACCTGTTCTCCCCCGCAGAGGAGGGCAGGATGGGCTCCAACAGAGCGAAGCTCAGGGAGCCAAGGTTCCATTTGGACGCCAGGAAGTACTTCCTGACAATTAGGACCCCGAGAGAATGAAATGGGCTTCCACGAGAGGCGTTGAGGCCCCATCGGTGCGGGTGTTCAAGGATAGGCTGGACGTGCACATGGTGGGCATGTCGTGAGCGGAGCTGGCTGGTGCCGGAGGTCAGACTGGATGGCCCGGGAGGTCCCTTCTGACTCGGTCTGTTTCTGTGTTTCTATGAAAAGGAAGAATCACTTGAGATCTTACTATAAATGTGCATTGGCTACTAGGTGCACCAAAGAATTTCAGAA